TTAAAATAAAAAAAAATAAAAATAAAAAGCTTTATTGCGAGATAAAAAAAAAACAAAAAAACAAACATACCATAAGCCAGTGGAGGTGAATTCATGGCACACGTGCTGCAGCAGGATGTGTGTTATCACTGACAGCTTTAAAAGGTTCGCCATCACTGCTATAAGCTACAGTAGCCCAAAAAGCAAAGTACTGACATGAAAACTGACACATAGATCAGTGGAATAGAAAAGACAGCCTAGAAATAAATCCACACACCTTTCTCCAATTGGTTTTCAACAAAGGCAACAAAAATGCATACTAGCGAAAGGACAATCTCTTCAATAAATGGTATAAGAAAAATGGATATTCATAGGCAGAAGAATGAAACTAGACCCCTATCTCTCACCATATTAATTCAAGATTAACTCAAAATGTATCAAAGAGAAACATGTAAGACATGAAACTGAAACTACTACAATAAAACACAGGGAAAAACTATGAGACATGGAAGCCATGACTTTTTTAGTAAGACCCCAGAAGCACAGCACTAAAGCACAAATAGGCACGTAGGGTTCCATTAAAGACACTTCCGCACAGCAAAGGGAACAACAAAGTGAAGTGACAACCTGAGAATCAACCGCGGTGTGCAGCATTAGATATGTGGATAAAGGAAATGTGGTATATATACATAACGAAATATTGTTCAGCCAAGACAAGAATGAAACTCTGTCACTGTGGCAACATGGACGGAACAGGAGCCTTAATTATATCAAGTAAAAAAGCCCGGCACAAAAAGACAAACACTGTGTGTTCGTATATTTGAAAGGCGCAGTGTTGATGTCATAGAACAGTGGAGGCTAGGAAGGGTGCAGAGGGTCGGAGGGATGCTGGGTAACAGGTTCCGAGTGCAGAGGAGTCAGTTCCAGTGTCCTGCAGCTCAAGAGGGCGACCTCAGTTTACAACAACTTACTACGCATTTTATAAAGAGCTAGAAGAGAGGGGTTCGAGGGTTCCCAACACAAAAAAATGATGTTTAAGAAGACAGAAATGCTAATTACCAAGAGCTGATCATCACATTTATATATATATACTAAATTATCACTGTACCCTACAAATACATGTAAGTATAAAAATTTAAGTTGAACGTTTAAAAAGGTGCTGAAATGAAAAGATTACAAAATTGTTGCCATATAAAAAAGACTGAAAAAAGTTTCAAATTTCAGAGCATTCTAGGTTTCATATTAGGAAAGCTTAACCTTACATATTAACATGCATACAGTTGGGAAAAGCACTTTGGAGTCCAGCTATATAATAAATCTACATTCTCTGTAGCACTTTTCATTTTACTTAGCCCGTTTGAGTTTATCACTATTAGGACAAGACACTCCCCTTTTTTTGAATTTTTTTAAACATATGAAAAATTGATATTTAATTCTTGGGGCTTTTATTTTTCATGATAATCATTTCTTAACTGTTAAGGCAAATTTTTATACTTATATTTTAATCTTTGTGTGTGATTTTACAAGATTCCATTTCATTATTTGCCTACTAGTGACTCATACTAAAAATACTACATTTGATTTATTTTATCCTGGAAAAATTTAATTGTATTTAACTGCAAATTCTCAAGGAAATTTTTGAAAAGCCAACTCCTGAATAATGATAAATAATAACAAGGAAGTACCTGTAACAAAATTTTTAATTTGTTCAAATAATAAACATATATTCTTTGATGTAGTCACTAAAATTACTTAATATAGAGTAAGCCAAAGTACCACAACTGAAATATTAAGCCAATTATATCAAATGCCACATTTTCAAAAACTTCTAAAGTGCAAGATAGTGTTTTAGTTATGCAAGTAAGAACATATTTAACATACTAAAGAACTGAAGGTGTACTGGAGGGACAGAATGGTATTTATACGTGCCTAAATTAACTTAGGATAGTCACAATTTCTGATATAAAGCAGACAATAATATTTATACAGTTTCTTCTTTTTGCAATTTGAATGTTATGGGTCTTCTAATTACACCTGCATACATTTATTTGGCTTCATAGCAGTATAGCTGAAATCAGCTTGAGCAATTTATACCTAATTTTTTAATAGTACACATGGAAGCAACGTCACTATCTCATCAGTGTGGGCAGAAGAGAAGAATATTTAAACAAGATGAGACTTTTAAAACAGCACACACTGATCTACATTACATATTTCCGTTTTAAAATAAAATTTCTGCCTTTAAATGTGTGTGTGTGTGTGTGTATACACAAAGTGCTAGATATCAAACCTAGAGACTTGTGCGCACTAGGAAAGTGTTCTATCACTGAGCTCCATCCGAATCCTTTGCCTTTCCACCTTACCACAGGTTTAACAGCAACATTTGGGGTTCCACTCAGAATATACCGATAGTAATATCTCAATAGCAAGTAACTTTAAGAAAAGAGTTAAAAATGGTGCTCTAACTGTGCACTATATAATTTATGGTGACAGAATTATATGTTTTAGATGTATTATAAAACTTTACTATTAGCCTGTTTTCCATTGAAAAATCTATGTGTATATATATTTGTACATAAAAATTCAAGCTATATTTAAATGCCAAAATATACCAAAATAATACAGAAAAAGTACCTAAAAACATACACTTACTGAACTACCAAAGGTTTATCAGCAAATTTGAAGGGTTTTGCTAATACAGCCGCTATTGCATGATGCTTTGCTCTAGATTTCATTACCAATCCTCTGTCACCAGGTACCTGGTTTTCTTTCAGCTCTTCTATTTCCCACCGTCCTAGGAAATAAAGCCAAATGCATTAAACTGGAACAGAAAACACTGCCTTAAGTATTATTTATCAGTAGTTATAAACAGTAATCTTTTCTATGAAGATTTGAGAAAAAATTACAAATTTGGAAGTAATAGCTGCAAGATTATGTATAGTCTTTTTTCTTTCCTTTTTCCCCTATCCAAAAATGGTTTTAATAACAAACACTATAGTATCTGATTAAGGTACTTTTTTAATTTTAGAGAAAAAAATAAAAACGATATAGAATTTCAAAACGAGATGATAGAAAATTAACAACGGTTATTATATTGCATATTGTTATTAGACACAGGCATGCAAAATTGATCAAACAATAAATATAAGCACTAACTGTTTCTTTTTATGTAAGGTACTTCTAAAGGTGGATTAGTTTGGTTTTCTCTCCAAACTTTTGAAAGAGTTATAAAATGCGATTTACTCTTTATTCCTTTAAGAATTATAAGCCAACTTTTATTAGAGTAATATATAACTGAGTAAACAAACCAGCAAAAACCTATCAATAATGAATTTTTAAAATGAGATGTCTAAAACGACATATGGATCCTGGGAGACAGCTCAGCGGCACAGTGCCTGCCTGGCAAGCGCAGGGTCCTGGGTTTGATTCCCGGTACCAAAAAAAACCAACCTGCATATGAAAGTTTGTCCTTAACAAGTTTGCATCTGTTAAATTTACTGTACTTTGCAATGCATAATACCCATTAGCTGATTCTCTTGTAACATTACAGTATTTTGAAAACTATGTATTAAACCCTTCCCAAGCTGTGCCACGCAGCTCTCACAACTTGGCTAGGAAAGCCCTAGATGAGGACTAAACTATGAGGCAGCAGAGTGAGAGGCCCCATCTGCGTCAGAATTTTCCATGTTTAAGATCACAATAACGGTCCTGCTGTCGGTCATGGGGTCCAGAGAATGCACAGCCAAGTGAGTGACTTGCAACTCAGGTGTGGCATGTTGGACTTTATTCCTTTATTCTTTTAAGAATCATAAGCCAGCTTATATTAATTTGTATAAAACTTAGTTTTGAAAATTATAACTATTGTCTCTAATTGAGTAGACTATAACTGAGTAAACAAGTCAGAAAAAAA